ACATATATTCTCATATTACTGTAAGGTAACTTGAATGGCCAATGGTGACGTAAAGGAGATCCTTCACTGTGCCAGAGGGCTGAGTGTTGTCCTACCTCCATGTGCCAAGAATAGACCAGTAGGGACAAGAAGTCTGCTGCTCAGAGATCAAGGGGAAACATTAGAATCAACAGGATCTGCTGCAGAACAAACAAGAACTCAGAAGTCAAAGTTATATCTTCACCAGCCTTTTATTTACTGTGCTGTTCCTGTTAGCATGGGGGTGTTAAATCTTAGCCCACTCTGCTGTCTGTGCTGTCAGAGGGCATGTGTGTGACTGAGAGCTGAGGCAGGGCAAAGGAGTCGAAAATCGAGGTACATGTACTAAACTGACTCTTCCACTGTTTTTCCATTGTGCAGCAGCTGTTTTGAATTCTTTGGCGCGGGGGCTTGTCTGACCTTATATGGAGGCTTTAAAGCACCATTCTGAGTGTGAGATTAGAGCGATGGTAGCATGAGAGGCCTTTTATAGTTTTAAAAATCCAATAACAGTATAGTGTGTCTGCAGTGGGTCGAAGTCAGAGATGAATCGTTTAAAGCAATATTTTATGGCAGCCTTTGTGTGGGTGAGCTTGCAGCTGAAATCAGTTATTTTAAGACTTTGGAGAGATTTGTCGGAGGTCATTAGATCGATATCATCACCGAGTATCACAAGTATGCAAACTTGCCAAGAAGATTTAGAGGAGTGGAAAACCAATGACACCCTGCGCACATATCACCATGGAGATGGAGGTAAAACCATGGTTACAGTCCAAACAAGTACACATGCCTTCCATGTAAGTAAATAAAGCAACAAAACATAATTATTTCAGCTGTACTCCAAAAGAAAGATAAATCATGGTGACTTTATGTACTAAAATTACATATTAGATTTCCATGTAAATGTGTTACGCAAGGTCAGTGTAATGTGTTTTCTATCATTTTGAGTTAAGTGTGAATAAATTAAATTAAGTTAAACTCATGCATAAATATATCTATTCAACACAATTGATTTAATTAAATCACTGTCAAATAATTTGATTTATTCACACCTCATTAAATGTAACCCTTTACATTGACGTATGTAAAAAAGTTAAATGCAAATTGAAAATGTAATTGAGGGTCACTGTACAGGAATTGTATTATTTTATTGTGTACAGGTTAATCAAAAACTGACCTGATTTTTAAGGTGGACCTCGAAAGTCTTTCAGAGTGCAGCGATTACTTCCGAGCATTGTCCCTGTCCAAAATGAGAGAGACCTCCGAGAGCTTCATCCATCTGGACCACGTGTCTTCCTCCGTCTTCTACAATCTCCTTGAGTTCTGCTTCCATAGTAAGTTTAAAGTCCCGAAGGAAGAGTTGGACGCACATATACAGGTAACAGAGATTGAAACGTCCATAGTTATTTATCTGTCTCTATCGTGCTGTGAATCATCCACAAAACCAATGTACCGCCTCTTTTTTTCTATATCGTCCTGATCCTGGAGGTCAGCAGCTATCTCCTGACTGAGGCCTTCCTCTCACGGTGCCTGTCAGCTCTGGAAGATGAGCTCAGGCCGGAAAACTGTTTGTCTTACCTGAATCTGGCTCAGGAGATGTGCTGCGATGAGCTGAGGATGACAGTGCTCACCTACCTGAGTAGAAACATGATGGAGCTCTCCCTCCTGACCAGGTATTCAACATGTAGTGGTTGAATTACATGATTGTACGGCTCAAGTTGGTTCGGCTGGTAAAGCTTTGGTCTGTAATCAGGATTCTCTTCATGTACTGAGTTTCTGTCATGATCCATACTTCAGGGGTCTGAACGATGAGGAGATGGATGAAGTTCTCAACCTGAGGACACAAGGACACAGACATCTCTGCAGCCTCAGGAAGGAGAACCTAACTTCTTGGAAAGACCCAGAAACCGAATGCGCTCGCCATGTCTTCATCCTGAAAGAGTCGGAGGACAGTGAAGCCTGGCAACCGATCACAGAGCTTCCTTTCAGGGCTGATAAGTGGTGCTTCACTACGGTGGTTCTGTGTAACTACTTGTACGTCATAGGAGGCTACCGGCAGCGTGCTAAGAGAGGCTGGGAGTTCAAGATGGCTTCCTGTAGGTACAATCCCTTCACTCAGACGTGGGTCTCCACAGCTCCTTTGATTAAGGTGAGAAAGTTGATCTGTCTGTTTTACCCACAGACTGCATGACTGCTCCACAAAAGTGAAGCCAAAGCGCCTTGATCCCCTGGTGGCTGGCTGCAGTATAGGTCAAAAACCCTGCCTCCTTCATGCTAGTGGATGGGACATGGGTCGAAATAAAAATTCCATGTCACATAAACATCCATTTTTGTTTTTCTCAAAATAGATCTCTGTCAGTTTAGATAGTTCTTATCACAGTGATGTTTGTTATCTGTACAAGATGGCTGCGTTCATATCCAGGACATTTCGAACTTATTTCTGGATAGTGAGAGGAAGTGGGGGTGTCTTTATTTCCATTTTACTGTTGAAATAAAACCTACTTTTTCCTCATTCATGTATATAATACTTATTAAAATGATCGCAATATGGTGCATCCACAGCGCAGAAGACACTTCAGTGCAGTGGCCTGTGAAGGCTGTATTTACGCTGTAGGAGGCTGGTACTTGGACTCTCTGGTGACTCCGGACTCCAGCACGGCTCTCTACACTGCTGTAGAGTGCTATGATCCATGGGAGGACACCTGGAGGTTTGTGTCAGTGTGAACCAGCTGCAGGAGCGCGGCTCGGGGAGCAATTTTCTATCCTCACGTGTCCAAGCAGGAGAGAAAACTAACCAAGCCTGACCGAAACCTGATTCTGTTTTTGTGCCTAAGCTTCCTGTTCTACCTAACAGGCACGTGCAGTGTAAAAAAAAATCAAGTAGATAACCCAGCCAATGTAACCAAACCCGATCTGAACTCGGATATCATTTCAAAAATGTGTACAAACCGGACTTGAGTCGAATATCCACGCTCGATTATTACATCATTTTTCAGGCTTTTCTACCTGTAATGTCCATTAGAAAAGCATCTTTCATACTAGTGACTGAATGTGATTTCTGTCCTATAGGTTGGTCTCCTCACTACCCCTCACTGACTTGCACTTCAGTGTGTCCCTGTCACATGACGTCCCCCTTGCTACTAGCCTTGGACACTGTGTCTATGTGTTGGGGAGCATCCAGAGAACTGGGGAGAAGCTGCTGCTACAGTACAACACCAGGCACGGTACAACAAAGCACCTCAGCTCTGTTTGACGAGAACATTATAAGAAAGCTTGTATACAAAGCTTTTGTACTTGTGTTGTGTTGTCTGCTAATTGTCTCCTCCATTGCTTTCAGCTCAGTCCCCGCCCCTCAGATTTACAGTTGAGATCAGATTGTTTCCTAACATGCTCATCAGGACGTATTAAAAAACAGCACTCGTGTATTTTCTGTGCTTTAGACTCCTGGTGTGAGCTGCTTCCCACTCTCACCAGAGCAGATGCAGATATCCCGACTCTTTACTTCCTGGGTGTCACCGACACGCTGCTTGTGATTGGTGGAAACAACTCAGAGAATGTGGTGACATCGTTTTGTTTGCAATCGCAGAGATGGGGAGAGGTAAGAATGGAACAGAGGACTGAAACTGTCAATCACGCACTCTTGGATTATGTGCACCTGAAGCACAAAGTAAGATATTCTAAATAAATGTGCTCCTTTATTTCTTTGTCCAGGTGCAAAGGGCGGATAAAGTGTCGTTTGTGGGACAGGGGACAATCGCAGGTGACGGTGTCCTCATACCAAGTATTGAACACAACACTGTTATAAAACTAGATCTCCAAACTCTCTCCCTCAGAGCTTTTCCTCCTCTTCCAGTTTCAACCCGATATGAATCTATCTTTTATCTTCACTTCTAATGCTCTTGATTAAAAATAGGGGTTTATTTCTGGTTGATGCAGGAGTTGTAGTATATTTCAGTTATCTGTTATTGTAATGGACACAACTAGTCTCATAATTAAGACAACATGTTTTGTTGTCTGTCTTCTCTTGTATTCATTGTGTTTACATTGTGTATATTATTTTATAATTTTTAGTATTTCCCTTTGTTTATGTTNAATCACTACATGATCCAGTTACTACATCACCTTAGATGTCCCCTACACTCACACTTATGTCTCCAGAACTGGATTCAAATGGAATCAGCTGCAGTCTCGCATTTCTGTTAATGATGTTACATCTAAATATTTTCTATGATTCTAGAAAATTGTATTTTTATTTAAATCCTTGTTGTGTTGTATGTCTTTTCTGATTGTGTATGTCGCCTGGTGACATGTCTCTGAGTATTCAAAGACTAGAGATTTAAAAAAAATCACATTGGCCTTCTCATCACATATTTGGGGAACATTATTACCATTTTGAAGCCGTGACCATTTTCGCGGAAGGTAAAAAGAATTTTTTTCCTTGCTGTACATCCTAACACAGCAGTGTAGCAGTTACACAGCAGAGACCAGGGGGCACGTGAGGAGAGGCTCTGTGTTTGGTGTCCTGTTACAGAAAGAGGCATGTCAGAGAGGGAGAGAGAGAGAGAGAGAGGAGGGAGAGGGGGGAGAGGGGGGAGAGGAGAGAGAGAGAGAGAGAGAGAGAGAGAGAGATAGAGAGAGCACAGGAAATGAAAGCTCTGATCTCACCACCTGAGAAAAGCCACTTGAAGGGCACTGGAGTCACAAACACAAACACAGACAGACCTGAGCCTCAGTACAGAGGAGTTCCACTGCCTCACTGACACAAACCAAAGTCACAGCTCGTCTTAGCCTGAGTGGATTCCACTGACTGGTCTCACAAAGGTAAAATATTGGCCTGCTTCTTTTTCTGTTGTTCTTACTTTTATCTGCATGTTGTTGTGTTTGCTGCAGGCGTTTTCCTGATTGATTGTTTTAGATTAAACTCCATATTTTATGTGCACGACAGCTCGTTCATATATTTGTGTGTTTTGTATTACATGCAACATTTGTGTAAAACTTAAGATGAAGAGGAAGTTTAATTACACAGTGCTGAAAATTGGATTTTAATTCCTTAAAGGTTTTCTAAATAAACATTTCCAGTAATCATTCTGTTTTGATACTGCCTTTCACCTGCCAGATTATCACAGTCAATGTATAATAGCAATAGTTGAAGAATTTAACTATGGGTTGTGCTCTGTGTTTATATTTTCATCTGAGGTCTGTGCACATGCTCAGCCGGTGCACCACTATATCTGGCCATTGAACTTTGTCCCACTTGGTAACTGCTCAGTCATATGACATGGAAAAAGAAATCCTAGCCCTGCCTCCCTGAATTACATGTAGTTTTTTTTTAGGTAGAATTTCCCATTACATTTACGACAGAATGGTGGCAACTATAAATATATGTAGGGGTTAATTAATCAAGAAAATGTTTATATTTATAATCTCCAGTTTCAAATCAAGTAACAGATGGAAAGATGGTGTTTGAAACATTATCAGTGACCTCTCTTATCACATTATGAGCAAACAGTTCAGCTTTCCTTAAAATAATTTGGGAACTGAGAGTCTGATGTAGCGAAGTCATAAGGTTTGTCTTTATGTAAATGTCAGTTTGGGTTTTTTGTGGGTTAATTAGTGAAAAATACAGCTTACTCATACTTAATGGCTTAATAATAGTCAATGAAAATTAAAAAATAGTTAAGAAAATACCCAAGAATTCTTTAAGCCATGGTAATTTGTATGGAATAAGGGTGTTTTATCTAATCTTCAGATATGACAGATATCATTGACATTGAATCTTGGAAGGACCTGTATCCAGAGCTGAAAAGAAAATGACTCAATGACATTTAATGCATAGATGATGCTGAAACGACTCAAGACTTAAGAGTTTTGATCACAATTCGGAAATATTATTTGAAATTGGTTTACTTTTGATTATAGGCAAACAGAGGGTTATCTGCCCAATTAACTTATATTTCAGACTTTGGTAGTCTTTGAGGGAATAGTTTTATTTTTTGTTATTATAATTATTATGATTACTATTATCACTATTATAGACATTACTAGTTTCCTTTTGCTCTCCATATTAGTGACACAGAGAGATGGCTGAGGCGCATCAGGCGGTGGGCTTCCAGTTCACCGTGCGGCCTGATGGCGTGGACCTTAAACTGAGTGAGGAGGTCATCAAAAACATCTACTTGTCAGGAGTGACGGCATGGAAGAAGAGAGCCATACAATTCAAGGTATGGTCACACATTGTCAGTGTTAAGCAAATTTGGAGTCACTCATGATTGTAGTGTATATTCACAGTGTGTAACTTCGCTGTATTTGTGCATTGTCTCCATAGAACATAAAACACAAAGACTCATCCTGTGTTAACACTAATTCTTATGTTTTGCTCACAGAATGGTGTGTTGGCTGGAGTCTATCCAGCCAGCCCGTCCAGCTGGCTGATAGTTGTGATCGCAATGATGAGTTCCCTGTACATTCGCGTAGACCCCTCTCTGGGTATGATTGACGCCATCAAGGACAACCTTCCACAAAGGTCAGAGATCCCCCATAGTACATGAGTGAAGTTAATCAGTGTTCAGTGTTCTGCTGGAGCATGTTGGTTTACTCAGTAAATCAGCTGTTTAAAATTGACTGTGTTGTTCTCTGAGCAGAGACTGTATGTCAGTGCAGACCCGGGCGGTGCTGAGTGCCATCCTCTTTGCCACTGGACTGTGGCTGTTCCTCATCTACCTCCTGAGATACACACTCAAAGCTCTGCTCTCCTACCACGGCTGGATTTTTGAGTCCCATGGAAGAATGAGCACATCTACCAAAGTGTGGCTGGTATGAATGTGTCCCTCTGTCTGTCACACACTGAGTCTTTGATTCCACTGTCTCGTTGTCAGAACATTGTCTCTTTAATCTTTGCACCCCTCCCTCAGTGCAGAGGATATGTGTTTGAATCTAGAATAAGCTATGACGTGCAATCTGTTATATTGCATGTGTAATGATGTTTGTATGGTGTTGTGTGTTTGTAACCAGAGCCTGGTGAAGATGTTCTCTGGACGCAGACCGCTGCTCTACAGTTTCCAGGCCTCATTACCCAGACTCCCTGTGCCCAGTGTGGATGATACAGTTCACAGGGTTTGTAATTACTCAGAGTTGACTTTATATGACCACAGACAAATAAAGTCCAAAAGTGTGTTGAATTGAAGCATGATAAAGACATTTTAATTATGGGCTGGATTTGGGTATTTGGAGAACAAGTAGTCTCATGCACTTAAATCAGATTTTAATTGAGATTCCAGCTCTATTCAGAAACTGACTATCATCATTTTGCTAAACTAAATATTATAAAATGAAATACATTCACATCACATTTCTGCCTCTTTTTTTTTACAACATGAACACTTACATTTAAACCTATGTAGCACATGAACTAAACCTAGACAATGAAGACATATGTGATATGTGAATATTCCACCACTCCGACCAATGGCTAAAAGTCAGGGGCCATTTATGGGCCACGATTTACACAGAGGGGCCATTTAGAGTATATGTCCAAGCACTGCCTCGTTCTGACAGCACACGCCATGTTTTTCCCACAGTACCTTGAGTCAGTTCGTCCTCTTCTGGACAGTGACCAGTACGACCAAATGGAGATTTTGGCCAATGACTTTAAAGATTCTAAAGCAGCTCAGCTACAAAGATACTTAAAGCTAAAATCCTGGTGGGCAACAAATTATGTGAGTAAAGAAGTGATTTATGTTTGGAATTAAATTCAGCTCAGTCATAATATTATATTTACTAATGATGTGAATCTTTATCTGCTGTAGGTGAGTGACTGGTGGGAGGAGTACATCTACCTCAGGGGCAGGAGCCCCATCATGGTGAACAGTAACTTCTATATAATGGTGAGTGTAATAGTAATGCTCTTTTTATATTATAGTAAAATTATATCCACACATTCAAAGGTGGATAATGAGTGCATAAAGTATAAAAGAAATATTAAACAAACAAGAATTCCTTAAATTCTTAAAACCTCACTTGCCAGTAACATTATTTGGAATACATTTTGGGTTTTGAAGTATAGTTTTAGGATTTGTGTTGATGCAATATGGTTTGTTTGTGTGTTCCTTTTGTGTGAAGGACCTCCTGTACATGACCCCAACACACCGACAGGCTGCACGCGTGGGGAATGTGGTCCACGCCATGCTGCAGTACAGACGCAAACTGGAACGTGGTGAACATGCACCGGTAATGGTTGTCATGACATCACAGCCATGTAATGACACTATAACATGATTCCATTTTCTCCCTGTATCTTCTCTTTAGCCTTAGCATGAACATCAAACCGTTGTTTTTCTTTAACTCTCTTGATTTCAAATCCTAAGTATGAAATGAAATTGTAATGTCTTTTTCTTTCAAACTGTGCCACGACCACTTTAAACCAGCAGGAAGAAAGCAGCCAAAGAACAAATGCAGAGACCTCTCGTGCAAAATAACTAAAGCTATTCCAACTTTGCTGGAAAATAGTGTGTCCGTATGGGCCTTTAAACCTATTAATATTCTTTCCTCATTGGTTGTGACTTGTTTCACTGTCTTTTTTTCTTCCCAGCTGAGGGCCTTAGGGACCGTTCCAATGTGTTCCTCTCAGATGGAGAGGATGTTTAACACCACCCGCATCCCTGGCATTGAAACAGGTGAGATAAAGGTACATTTTAAGTGAATTCATGCTCAATAGCATTGGAAAGTCCATTAGCAGGAAAAAGACAAATACCAGTGTTTTTGTGTTGATCTAACAACTTCACTGTGAGCCCTCAGGATTCATGTGTTCAAACAGAAGACTAGTATTTCTAATTCTATTTTTAAATCTTTGGTGTTTCTCATCTGACCGTCTTTTCTCGCTCATCTTTTCCCTGCAGATATTGTGCAGCACCTGACTGACCGTAAGCACCTGGTCGTCTATCACAGGGGCCGCTTCTTCAAAGTGTGGCTGTACACTGGAGGGCGCCACCTTTTACCCAGTGAACTTGAGACACAGTTTCAGAGGATCCTCAATGATACAACAGAGCCTGAGCCAGGAGAGCTCAAATTGGCTGCCCTGACTGCAGGAAACAGGTATTCTCTATAAGCATATACACATGACACACACACTGATGTAGACATGATTGGATGAATGTGTCACACTTTCACCACTAGAGTTCCATGGGCTCGGGCTCGGATTAAATATTTCAGCCAGGGGGTAAACAGAGTGTCCCTGGATGCCATAGAGTCAGCTGCCTTCTTCCTGGCACTGGACGATGAGCCGCAGGGTTATGACCCAGCAAAGACCAACTCACTGGACAGTTATGCCAAGTCCCTGCTGCATGGAAAATGTTACGACAGGTAGGCAGAGAAGGCCTCAGCTCTTACCATCAGCACAGGTTTGATTTTTAATGATTTGTAGGCCCTAAATGTTTTATTTCTTATCTTACAGGTGGTTCGACAAATCCTTTACCTTGATCTCTTACCCAAATGGAAAAATGGGTATAAATGCTGAACATTCGTGGGCAGATGCACCGATCGTAGGGCATATGTGGGAGGTATGACGTGCACAGGTACACGTTAAAGCATTAAGTTTGCAGTCATCTTCAGCTGTCCCTTTCTGTCTGTGTAGTATGTCCTCGCAACGGATTGCTTCCACCTGGGCTACACAGAGGAGGGACACTGTAAAGGTGACGTGAACAAGAACCTGCCCCATCCCACTCGACTACAGTGGAGGATTCCAAAGGAGGTACAGCAGAGCCTTGCATTGCTTATTACAATTAATACACTTAGTGTCTATCATAAATTGATCTCTCCTCTTTAGTGTCAAGAAGTCATCGAGACGTCATACCTGTTAGCCAAGCAGATAGCTGATGACGTGGACTTCTGTGGTCATCTGTTCAGTGAGTTTGGGAAAGGCCTGATCAAGAAGTGCAGGACCAGCCCTGATGCCTTCATTCAGCTCGCCCTGCAGCTGGCACAGTTCAGGGTACGGGTCAAATCATCGTCTGCTGACATTACCTCTCACCATCTGTACCATCCACCGCCATCACATCACACTCTTCCATCTGCTTTAACAGGATCAGGGAGTGTTTTGTCTGACGTACGAGTCATCAATGACCCGCATGTTCAGGGACGGTAGGACGGAGACCGTGCGCTCTTGCACCTTTGAGGCGGTGTCATTTGTCAGAGCAATGGAAGACAAAGGTGTAACAGTAAGCAGAACGCTTAAAAGCTCCATGACATAAAGTTCTGTGGGTTTAAATAACACGTAGCTGCTCATAATGTTCATAATCATTAACTGAATGGAATAGTTTCAACTTGGTCACTGAGACCAGAGATAATGTGTCTGTGTGTATCATGACCCTGGACTCTGAACTCCCTGATGTTCTGGGGTTAAACTGACATTAATGTGAACAGAAATCAGGGCATTTTGATCTGATGGTGTGTTTGCTCGTTGACTCTGTGACCAGAACACCCAGAGACTTGCCCTGTTTCGGAAGGCGGCTGATAAACACCAGAACATGTACCGTCTGGCCATGACCGGTTCTGGCATCGACCGGCACCTCTTCTGTCTCTACTTCGTGTCCAAATACCTTGGTGTTGACTCTCCATTTCTTAAAAAGGCAAGAGCGCCTTTTTATTGATTTCCTATTCACATGTTTCCTGTTAACCTACATACCACAACCTGTCTGTCATTTTCCCACACAACACTCAATGTCTTTGATTCCAGGTGCTTTCAGAGACATGGAGGTTGTCCACCAGTCAGACTCCACAGCAGCAGCTCAATTTAGTTGACATCAACAAGTTCCCTCAATACGTGGGTGCTGGCGGTGGATTTGGACCAGTGAGTTCAAATGTTTTATTTTAGAGATTTGTTAAATGTTCATAATGTTTTACCCTGACATCCTGAGCTGAAAAATAACATGTCTAATGTGTCCCCAGGTGGCTGACGATGGTTATGGTGTGTCTTATATCATTGTTGGGGAGAACCTCATCACATTCCATATTTCTAGCAAGTTCTCCAGCCCTGACACAGTAAGAGCACAAACTGAGAGCACGACTATTATTGATCAGTTATTTAAACAGTATGGGGGTTTTTCACACTCTGTTTCTGTCTCACTCTCACTATTCCCTGTCTGTGTGACATGCAGGACTCAAACCGGTTTGGTCAGAACATTCGGAAGGCCATGCTCGATATCCAGGGACTCTTCAAGCCAGAAAATGATAAGAAGATGGTGGAGGGTGGAAAGCATGCACAGCTGGAAAATGGTAAAAAGCACATATAACCGACTGTGGGATGGATTCACCTGAGAGTCCGTCTTTGACACGCTTCATTCATATGCACAAAGAAAGTTCAGGTTACACTTAATATCTTTCTGATTTTCTGGAGGGTCATATTATTGGACCACTCAGTGAGAAAATAGGAACAGTTGGTAAACTATTTATTTTTATTTATATTGTACAAAATTTTGTTTTGCAACCATTGCTGGAGATGAATAAACCAGATTTCTCCAGGTAATGCAGGATTGTATCTAAATGTAATGTAATAAATCTTTATATATTATTTGTGTGGTCTTTGGCTTTTTAATATAATTTGTAATTTTTTTTCTACCTAGAAAGTGAGATTTAAATTCTTAATCATCTGTCAACAATTATGAATTTGCTGCTTATATATTACTCTTGTCTAAAAAATACTACTACTAATACATACTAGTAACTTTCCTCATGTTTATATACCATCAGCTGTAATAATAAACCCTTATATCAAATAGAATAGCACTCAGTGGAGCACTCTCTCTCTTTCTCATCAAGATCCATTAATTATTCTTGAAGAAATAAAGGAAAATGTTGAAAACATTATATCACACAATGTTATAGAAAGTGAGAAAAAAAATCCTAGTTTTTTTTTACGTGTACCACATCTTTCCACCACATTTCCTGGAAATCGATCCTGTATTTTTTGTGTAATGCTGCTAACAAACAAACCACAAAAACTCTTCGACGAAGGTAATCAAAGACTGACACAGGAAAGCACTATGTTATAAGAGAAGTTTATTATTAGAGCTGGGGTGGAGGTTATACCTTGTTTATGAAATACACGTGAACATTTACAGAGGCCTTCCAAGCTCATCCCAGCTATTAGGATAAACAAACAAAGTTCTGTTTCATGTGAGCGCTAAATTAAATGCAACAGATCTTGAACCAAGGCAACAGTCAACAGATTCGAACACATGTTGTCTGACAAACTATTTTCCTATACAACAGTTGCACATATTATTTATGATATCAGGAATGCAGAGGGTAGAAGGTTCATCTCCTGAGGGTTTTGCAGATTTTGTCTCATCTATGACTTAAAACCAGGATTCATCTAAGACTCTAAGACGAAGAATGCACGGAGGAGCACCATCTGTCGTTCATGTTAAAAAAAATCCATCTGCAGCTCTGTGATGTAAGTAGATAATGTCACATTGATTTTGTTTATTCACATAACTGCAGCTCCCAAACAGTGAGAACAAAACATTGTCTATTTGGATATTTATTAGTTTATGTGGGGACAATACAAAAAGTCAAAGTAATAAAAAACAAACCATTCTGGTCACACTCTTTCAAGGCATCAGTTACAGCAATTAACTAAAACTAGGCTTTTTTTAACTGTACAAAGTGAATGGACAAACAAAAACACCAACACATCACCTTTATGTTGCTTGATGAGAGTAATTTTAAAAAGAGGCAACAGGTTCCAGACGTCCTAAGATTCAAAATGAATCAACAGTATCAGATTATCGTCTTCCTCACTCTCTTACCAGAAGCTGCCTGCCACTGCAACACATTTAACAAAACAGAATACAACAGACACAAAAGGCATATGGATTTTAAGTAAGCTCTATTTCTTACCAATGTTTCATAATGGGTATAACCTCAGTTTGAGTCCATTAGGTGGTGACATGCTCCTTAGGGCCACTGTGTGGTGCAGTTTTTCCATGTATTTTCACGCCAACCCAGTCTTTTCTGTGTACGTACTATTGTGTGTATATATTTCAACACTCTAGGATGGTTTTGAAGTTTATGTGTCTAAAATCACTCAACAGAGCTCTTGGGTTCCGGTCTATGACTCAGCAGAGGAGGATTAAGAGGTTGCACCAGGAGTTGGGTTGACATTCTGCGTGGCGGCCTGTGGTGCCACCTCTATGATCCGAGGTTTGTCAATGATGCGAGCAGTGCGGTTTCCTTTCTCTACAATCCCGATGATCCACGCTTGGTGGCCCTCTCCGTATTTTGGTGATTTGATCTCGGCACAGAAGCGAGCGGCCTGCTCCCGCGGTAGACAGATTAACAGGCCTCCTAGAAATGAAAAGGAGATTTGTCAGTGAAAAAGGTTTTAAATAATGAATTTTATTGTGTCATGATGCTGATGAGTGACTATTTAGTCACTTTAGAGATGTATCACTTTCTTTCCTTTGGTGTCCCTCAGGGCATACACACATACCTGATGTTTCAGGGCAGGTGCCATGCATGAGACCAAACATGTTCCCACAGGCCTTGGACACAGCTGCCATCTTGGCGAGCACTGGGAGGTTGTGGATGACAAATGACACTTCACTTCGCTGTTGTCGTGCCAACGTCTGAGCGTGGCCAAGGATGCCAAACCCTGTGATGTCGGTGGCTGCGTGGGCATTGAAGGTGTGCATGAGACCAGCCGCTACATGGGGAGACAGAGGGAGAGAGAGACTTAGAAGGGCACCAGATGGAATAATTGTTTAGATTAGACAGACAGACAGACAGACAGATACACACCTGTATTGTGTAAAGATTATTTAGTAGGGGAAGTAAATACAGAATTTTCAGTTGACATTCACAAAAACTAATAGCATAATTAACAAAAAAGAACAATATAATGCAAATACCAGATATAAAACATTTTTAATCTTCAGCTGAGCTGCAGCAGAGGCTCCTGCTGTTTACGAAATTCAAAGCTTGCTGATGTACTTATGTTTAACTTTAAACATGTTATTTCATTATAAGATAATGACAACCAAAAGTTCAAAACTATTGTGCATGTCAGTTGTCACTGCAAATTAATATTGATGATAAATTCATCATTTACCTGTCCTGTTGAGCCGAGCCATGTTCATCATGGCTTCATGATAGGCCAGTTCTACATCTTCCTGAGTTACCACCAGCTTTATTTTGTTCCACTTCTCAGGCTGGAGTGATTTGAAAGAAAAGAAAAACATATAAATGGAATTAGTGGCTATCCTAAACAACAAGAAGTGTCACAACATAATTATTCATGAGTGAACAGGCAGACTTACAATATCTAACCACTGATGTACTGCAACAGCAACTTGTGTTCCAAGGGGCTTAGTCAACACCAACACGTCTCCTGGGACTGCATTGTCTGGCCTAAGAAATGTCAAACAAAGTGTGATTAGTTGCATCACAATAAGTTTGTACATTATTGAGTAACTCAAAAAACTCAATTAAGAGAAAAAAACTCCTACATGATAAATTCGTTGGGCTGGCAGACTGTTGTCGCGACTCCTCCCATCACCACCCAGGGGTTGAGCACTGTTTGTCCTCCTGTGACAGATGTGCCTGCCTCCTCTGACGCATCCTTGAATCCCTGAATGATCAGTGGCATGACTTTGTCTCTCTCCTGTAAAGAGAAAGAAAAAGGCAGAGCAGCAAAATAAATAAGCAATATATATATATATGTATTGTTTTTTTAAAATTAATGCAGTTGGTTCTTTGCAGATATTTGCACTTAATCCAAAAGTGAATGCATCGGCTGACGTGACACTTACCTTCTCTGACATTTTGTTGCTGACTCCTAAAAGCATCAACATGTTGTCACACTCTGTCACTCCCATGGCGTACAGGTCACTTAGAACATTGGCACAAGCAATTCTTCCCTACAATAATGGAAAATTAAGCACATGAAGGGTTGGGCGTGTTAAGTCGGCCATTATAAGACCCAGTAAAGGACTTTATACCAGTGTCACCATTTAATTTGTCACATGTATATATATAATCAATAAGACCACTTTATTGCACTCAGTAAAAAAGAGAACATCCATACCATCATGTACGGGTCATCCACAATGGGGTAGATGTAATCTGTCGTCTGGACCAGAGAAAGGCCTCCATGTCTGAGGGGTATCACACAAGTGTCCATACCTATGCCTTCACAGAAAACAAAACAGACCAGAATTCAAAAGCTTGGCTTTGATGTAGAATCTAATGATGCCTTCAAATTGCTTTCCTTTTAGTTTAAGTTCCTATTTAAATACTGAGGGTAGGGTTGTATTTATTACAGCAAGTTTTATATTAACACACTTTATTCTACTATTCTAAAAAGTCTGCATCTTTTTTATTAAACATTACTAATAAAAAAAAATTAAGGGTGTATATCATCATTTTCACTGTATGATCATTATTACCTAATCGGGGCATAACTGCCCCCAGGAACTGTTCATCCTCCTGATAGTGGTTCTCCTGTAGGGTTTCTAGTAGCTTCTGTAACACATCTTGGGGCACCTGTGACCAGGAAATAACCAATTATAAATAACGGATTACTTTTTAAATACATATATTCCTTAATCAGGTTGGATTTCATATAGAGAGAGATTTCAATGAGAACCAACCTTGCAGCCTGTGCCCTTGAGCTCGGCAAAGCGTGTGAGTCTGAAGTTCTTGTCCAGCTCGTAGCTTTCAGGGTTGAAGGACTCCCGCACAGACATGTCTGTAGAAACTCTGGGTCCTCACCACTAGGACCATGTTGATGACAGGACAGAAAAAATATACTTGTGGTTAGAAACATGGTCTGGATGTCTCTGGTTGAAAGTCTTGTTAAATGCATAGACTTAAAATCTAATAATAATAACAGCTGATTCATCACACTGCAATGGCATCTGGGTTTATTCATGAATATCTCTTTTGTGCATCATTTCAAGTGAATCACACATGAGTTTCATCATCTTTACAATCTGAAGCTGCAGCCCTGCAATTCATCCAGCCTTTACATATAAGCTACACAAAGAAGGGAATCATTTCAGTGCTGTTAATAGTAATATTTTTTGTGTTGGAGAGTAATTGATTTATTTGCTGATATCTCCAATTCACAATTGCTTTTATTATCAATTTATCTACAGATTTAGGCAATTCATTATGCACTCTCAATGTTACAATACAATGCCGATACATCTCATAAAAGCCCCTTGTGACATGTATATTGAATTATCAGACTGAGAGTCCAAAATCCTGAGTTATTCAGTTTACAAATCCTCAAATCTGTCTGTAAATGTGTATTTGAATGTGCAGATTCTAATACAGACTGCAAAGTACCGCCCTGGAGACTGTTTGAATTCAACACCTCTCTGCACACACACTCTCCACTGACAACATCAACCATCACAATGAGCTGCAGCGTGTTGATCAACTCATATTTCTGGTTTCAGTGAAAACAACTGAATGAACAGGAGTGACTTCCCGGCGGGAACCACCTGCCCACCTGACAGGGAAGCCATTCGAACCATTTCCTTGAGGTTTGAACTGCTGCAGGTG